CTATGTATTTATGGTGAAAAACCTAGAAATCGGACCGAGGTTTGGTTCGATTCAATTGTTTTTAAAAATCTTTGACACCTCTTGCAACAATCCATGCATTTCTTCTTCGCTTTAGCCTAGTAAAAGCTCAGTTGAATAATGCCTCAATTGGGATCACTCAATATACCCCGAAATATCTCAAACTTTTCCGCCACAAGCGAGTAGCTACTTAGACATACTTCCATCTAGTGTTTCATGTGCAAATATCAGGTGAGACGTGGATCAACTGTTGCTACATCGTTAGGTGGCAACTCGCTTGTGCTGAGAGATCATGGGATGGTTCGGGTTAGAATGAACGATGACAAGCACAATGTAGGATACGCTGTTTAGTTGGATTAGATGAGTGCTTGTGGGGCAACTATTTCACGCCATCCATCTTCTCTCCTTTCTAGAATTCCATCTAAACAATGCATCCTACACTGTGTTTGGCATTGTTCATTGTATCCCAAACATCCCATGATCTCAGCAGAAGGGAGTTGCCACCTGACGATGTAGCAGGAGATGTCCACGCGTCGCCTGATTTTTCACACATGAAACACTAGATGGACGTATGTAATCTTCTTTTTTCGCAAATTCTCAGTTGTGAGATTTTTCTCTCTCATTGTCAACGAACTAAAAAAGCATATCTTTCTTGACATGCTGATAATTCAAACCGGTTAGTGCTGAAGATTTTATGGTAATGACTTTACTGTGAATCATCCTTTTCTCCTCGCTCCTCACCTCCACGAGTGTTGCTAGCACACATCCTTTGCTTGTATAACCTTTCAACTAGGCCTTAACACCCAGTGGAAAACTATCATATTGGATGGCAAAGTAAAATTGGGACATGAAGAAACACCCCTGGAGTAAAGGTGGTTGTAGAAATGGATCTGATGCCATTAAAACTAGTCATTGTTGCAAAAAGAACACTTGTATGGATTTGGTACCGAAAACGACAAGGTCTTCTATTCTCTTCTTGGAATGATATAGAATGGCTAATAATGCTTTAGCTGTGTGGTATAATGAAGGTACTGTGGTAGTTCCATAAAAAACTGAGTGATGAAAGGGGTGTGAATTAAACTTTTACTCCCTTTAATATTATGTGACATTTACATACTTTTTTTTTTAGTTTGTCCTAAAAAGAATGACACATTCCTATATAGGGACACAATTTAACTTTAAATTTTCCATTTTACCCTCAGTTACATGATCTCATAGCCAAACATGTCTATGGCATGTTTTAGACCACTTGTTTTAAAAGTCTTTTTTACTTTCTTAAATCGTGCCCAGTTAAACACCACCACATAAATTGGGACGAAACTATTTTATTTCTCATCCAGCGGGAAACTGTCAGATCTGAGGGCAAAGTAGAACTGGGAAGTGAAGAAACAATAGCAAAGGAGGCGGTAAAAATGGATTTTATGCCCTTAAACTAGTCATTGTTGCAAGAAGGCGGCTTTGTATGGATCTGGTACTGAATTCTGCAAAGTCTTCTCTCCTTTTCTTGGGATGATACAGAATGGCTAATAATGCTCTAGCTGTGTGGTATAATGATGGTACCATGGTCGTTCCACAAAAAACTGAGTGAGGAAAGGGATGCGTAATATATTTTTAGTTGAAAAAGCGACGGAACAACGAGTGTTCTTCATGATACCTTATGTCACAAACTTGGCATATCATTATGACTCCTAAACCTAGTAATTTGGCAGAAGTAAACTCCTCTTAAAATGACTGAAGAAGTCGCGCGCAAGTTAAGAACATATGGTAGGTTAGGATTTCTACTGTAGTAGGTATTGTTCCCTGGTTTAGACAACAATTTAATCAAAGCTTTTACGAGGAGGGATGGAACACCTGACACACGTCAGAAAGAGGAAACTGTAAATAATGAGATTGATTTTGTAAGCTGAAACTTGGTGATTTTCTCTGCCAAAGTGGCCATTCTTTCAGAAGATATATACATCACTTTCTTTCTTTGTTAAATGCTTGTATTGGTAAATTGATTGTGTCAATTGAAAGCATGTTCAATTCAGCTAATGATAATATCGCCACCCACATGTAAAAGATTGATTCTATCATTGTTTAAGAATATGTTTTTTAAAAAAAAATGTTTTCAGTTATTGGTGGTAGATTCTGGAATGTAGTTCATGTATCTGCAGGTATGTTCCATCTTTTTTACCACCTCCTACGGCAACCAAGAGCAGAGATTATGAGAAGGTATGTTGGGCAGTTGAAACATCTCTAGTACTAGAGTAGAAAAGTTGTACCTTTTTGATATTTACATATAAATATGTTGGTCTACATTATGCTGCAGGAGGAGAAAACAAGGGAAAAGGAGAAAGGAAAACCAAGGAACATCGACTATTTTATGGAGGAACTGAAGCATGAGCAAGAAATGAGGGAAAGGCGTAACCAAGAACGTGAACACTGGCGCGACCGTCATACTGATAATCCAGCTGTAAGTGGCTCTAAGGATATTGGTAGAGTGTATGAAATTAAGCCATTCAATCTTCCCTTCCTTTAAGATGAAATATCGGACAAACTTTTTCTTGTCTTTTTTCAATGAGATTCTGTTTAAATGGGTTGAAACAATTGCAGTCCAACGTGAATGTTATGATTTAGATGGTTGATGCTCTTTGGCAGTGGTCTGAGTACTTGAATCTTTTAGGAAGAAGATAAGTTATTGGTTGTTCTTATAGCATTACTGGTGCCTTTCATCTGCTTTTGATACACATTTTATGCACAGACATCAGAGTCTTCCTTGAAACATCATGCCACATCTGCTGATATATGCACGATACATTTATTAGTAAAGTTGCTGCAATAGCGCTAAAATTTACTGTAAAAATCACTTATTGTCAAATGTCTCTTCTTTTTGTGGTATCTACTTCCTTTTATATCTAATCTGCATTTTTGGTGTGCTTTGTATTACTTTTCTCATGTTTTATGACAAACTTTCCTCAGCCGTCTAGTCGGTTTGATGAGCTGCCAGATGATTTTGATCCTAGTGGAAGGCCTGGATCATTGGATGATGGGGACCCACAGACCACAAATCTATATGTTGGAAATTTATCGCCTCAGGTAATGCTTTTCTTATTAATGTCACTTTTGTTGCTTTAAGCACTGTGAAGCTGTCTTGAGTTTCTTTATCACCCTATTCTCCTTTCTTGTTTGGTTTACCCTTTTGATTATTTTCCTTATAGGTTGATGAAAATTTCCTTTTGCGTACTTTTGGGAGATTTGGCCCTATTGCGAGTGTAAAAATAATTTGGCCGAGGACAGAAGAGGAAAGAAAGCGACAGAGGAATTGTGGATTTGTATCTTTCATGAATAGGGCTGATGCTCAGGCTGCAAATGATGAGATGCAAGGTTAGGCTTTAGCTACTACAACTGAAACTTTTGCTTAATCCTATATCTGTGAATAGCGTTTCCCTCTTCTTATTTTCCTTCCCGTGATATTTCTTTTTAAAGAAAAGTTAAATATCTTCCCTTGCTATTTTGTTGATCAGGTAAAGATAAATTTCATTCATCAAGCATCCAGTCGATGCAAATGTGTTATAAAATAGAATTAGTTCCTGTACATGCCTTTGACTCCTAGCTAAAACTTAAGGAGATGACAAATCCAAAAAAAGATATTATTTCAATATGAAGTTTACGCCAAGCAATAGCTTAAGGAGATGACAAAATCCAAAAAAGATAACATTTATTACAATATGAAGTTTAGACCAAGCAAAGAGATTCGTTAAACATCCAGCCTTCAAAACATGAGTCAGAGTTGAAATTCCTTGCTATTATGAATGTCTCATTATTCTTTTCCTAGTTTCATACAACATAACAAATTTACCATGATGTTCTTGTTGTTCAAGCTTTTAATACACAGTTATAAGGAGTTAGAGATGCTGATGTTCAAGCAAAACTATGGCATATTGATAAGTGGAGTAGGTTATAAGGGTTATTCCACTACCTGCATTTATAGCTTTTGAGTGTACAAACCTGTTAAACTGAAAAAGGGAAAATGTTTTGATGGTGCAATATTGTGTATTATGTACTTGTACAGTAAGTGCCCGTTTGCTTAGTGTTTTGAGGAGAATTAATCTGTTGCTAAAACCCAGCATAACATTTACTTTGTTTGGTTGGTGAAATAAGGAGAGTTAATCTATGCATAGAAGCCAACATAGCATATACATTTTCGGTTAGCATTTACTTTCTTCCTAACTTCCGTACCAAATCGGTCGATCCGGAATGGATCGGTTAAACATTCACCGGCACAAGTTATGAGGAAATACATGTATGATTTTATGTGGGCTAGGATATCTAATAAGAATATGGGTATTACTAATACATGGATTAAAATAATATGATAAAATAAACTTGATGCCACCTGGATAGAATAGAAACTTCTTGCAGCTTATTTACTGGAAAAATGCAGAGAACGTCACCCCAACTTCTTCGGTACACAGATAAGATAAGTGAATCACTGTAATTTAGAGTCTTTAGTTTTTCTTCTGATAGAGTTGCGGTTGTACTGAGTATTGCTGTGTTTAAGGAGCAAAACCTGAAGTTGTCTACTACAGAAAAACACCCTAGCCCATTGACTCTTCCCTTATTTTTAAATATTAAAGGAAGACACAGATTTTAAATCATACAATGCGTACTATTTTTTAATACAAAAAAACCAAACATCCAATAAGAAATAATTCTTACATTATAATCCTTACATTACTATTTCCTGCATTACTCTAAAAAAAGGGCAGCCCGGTGCATTAAGCTCCTGCTATGCGCGGGGTCCGGGAAAGGGCTGGACCATAAGGGTATATCATACGCATCCTTACCCTGCATTACTCTCTCTCCATTAATAATCCCTGTATAACAATCTCTAGTTCTCTACAGTACTAATCCTTGCATTACAATCGCATTACAATCTCTGCATTACTAATTCCGGCATAACTTGTTTTTGAACCAAACGACGGCGACGACAACATCATACCCAGTGTATTCTCACAAGTGGGGTCTGGGGAGGATAGTATGTATGGAGTCCTTACCCTACCTTGTGAAGTTAGAGAGGCTGTTTCCGGAAGACCCTCGGCGCAATACATCAAAATCACAGTAGTTATGACAACGAACTACGTAAAACGAACTAGCAACGACAGCCAGAAAAAATAAAAACGAAGGACAGGAAACATCAGGTAATAATATCGTTCTAAAATAAAGGGAACATGAGGAGTTTTTGAACCAAACGATGCCTAATAAACGTGTCTTTTTTTTGCGTTGCTTTTTTTGTCTTCTCCTTGGGAGATTCGTCCCTTCAACTCTTGTGGGTGTCGCCTCCTGTTTGCTATGCCCATTTTGGGTTTGCTGGCACTGGAGATATTTGGCTAAATAAGAGGGAATGCAGTAGATATTAGAATCTATATTTCTAATATTTGCTCATGTCTATCCAGGATATATCAACTCTTGCTCAGTTTCCCAGTGTTTGAACTCATCCTTGTGCAAAGATCTTGCTTCACCTGGGACACAGTAGTGAGAGGCAGAATGGAGACTGACGATGGACTTGTTTTGGTTGTTTTAACAGCAGTGTGCTCTTGATAATGTTACCTGCTACATAACTATTACACAGAGCTCATGGAATTTGTTTTATTGCTATGTGGCTGTCTACTCTGTTTGCTTATGTCATCGTTCTTTTTGATTATTATTCGTTATCTCTTGCAAGTACATACAACTTTAAGCAGTGAAGCAATTAAATACCAAATTTTCTTTTTATGATCCAGGAGTGGTGGTATATGAGTACGAGTTGAAGATCGGGTGGGGCAAATCTGTCTCTTTACCATCCCAATCACTCCCTGCACCCCCTCCGGGACAAATGGCAATCAGGAGCAAGGAGGTTCGTTGTGCTCTATAGAGAATATGATTTGTTAAATGCATGTTATGAATGCATAACTTGGCAAGCTTAG